AGAATATATTTAACATAATAGGCTAAGTAAAAATGAACTAAGTCATCTTAAAAATATTAATAATGAATAAACTGTTACTATTTTAGAGTCCATGAGACAAAAGAATAAATAATATATAAATCCATTTATGCACATTTTCAGGGTTAAGAAAAGTAACCAATGGTTACAGAGATGGCTGTTATTATTAGTTGTCATTAGGTCTATTCTGGACAATGATTACCTTCTGGCAAACAGTGGCATTTTAATGGAAGAGGATAATAGGGTGGCCTTCTGTGGGGATGGAAATTTTTATATATTGATGTGGGTAATGGTCACAAAGATGAGTACATATACATGCAAAAGTTTATGGAACTGTTTATGTACCTTACTGTATACATATATAGGAGTTCTGGTTGTGTAGTGGTTAAGGCAACTGGCTACTAACCAAAAAAAGGTCAGTGGTTTAAACCCACCAGTTGCTCCATGGAAGAAAGATGAGGCAGTTTGCTCCTATAAAGATTTACAACGTTGGAAACCCAATGATGGTTGCTATAAGTCGGAATTGACTCAGTGGCAGTGAGTTTGGTGTGGTAGATGTATGTTGTTGTTGTTATGTGCCGTCGAGATGTATATGTATATGTATTTATAACTCAATAAAAATATTTTATATTCAGAAAAAGACTCCATGAGGTAAGGCAAAAAAGACAAAAAAAAAAAAAAAAAAGTGAAACAGACCTGAAAAACAATTTAAATGATAGGTTTCTAATAAAGAAATCTATTTTCATCAGTGAGAAATTAAAGTAGAAACTCATTTCTTTATAAGTATTAATTGAGGATCACTTATAGGGCATAATTAAGAGAATAAAGGAATCAATAACCTTTAAGCCTGGCTGTTTTCTTGATTTCCATACTGCTTTCAAAATGTTGTTGTTGTTGTTATGTGCCATTGAGTCGGACCCAACTCATAGCGACTCCTCCTTGGGTTTCTGAGGCAGGATCACTATGGACGTAGATTGCCCAACCTTCCTTCCTAGGAGTGGCTGGTGGGTTTGAACCGCCAGCCTTCTGCTTAGTAGTCAAGTGCCTGAGGCACTATGCTACCAGAGCTTCTATCTCATGCATACACAACCAGGCCACTCATACTGGCCTCTTCTTTGCCCAGCATATATATGGCCAATAACACAGTGAGCAACTTTAGAGCAGATATAAACATATTCATCTTAGTATGTCCAGTACCTAGTTCTAAAGTATTTGCATATGGAATCTAATTCATTCCAATAATTTGAATGAACTAAATCAATTAAAAAATTGTGCATGTTAGGAAAGAATGCACAATGGATCCCCAAACCTGTTACATTGTTTGGAGGCTAATCTATACTAGTAGGTAATTTATACTATTATTGGTCTATTCCATTATGTAGCTCTGGTAGCATAGTGCCTAAGGCACTTGACTGCTAACCAGAAGGCTGGCAGTTCAAACCCACCAGCCACTCCTCGGAAGGAAGATGAGGCAATCTACTTCCATAGTGATACTGCCTCAGAAACCCAAGGAGGGGTCACTATGCATTGGGTCCAACTCGACGGCACATAACAACAACAGCAGCAACATTCCATTATGTATTGTATATGCAGATTGATTTAAGGCCAATGTATTTGGTGAGTTTAAGACTTAACCATTTCCCAGGAAGTACTGTAAACAGGCTGGAGGTTTGTGTCTACCCAGAGGCGCCTCAGAAGAAAGGACTGGTAATTTACTTTTAAAAATGGACCATTGAAATCACAATGCAGCATAATTCTCCTCTAACACTTACTGGGTCTCTGTGAGTCAGAAATGACTCAATCATAACTGGATTGAACCCTCTAAATCTTGGGTCACAAATTTTAAAATGGCAGAAGCCAGGCAAATTATTTTAATAGGTGAAATAGTTTGGTTGCAATAAACATATTTGTCTTCCTTTCCTTGAAACCTAGGTATAGAGGAATATTTCTCAAAAAAAATGTTGAAATGGAAGAAGCATGACAAGCAGCAACTGATCCTTAGCCTCGGTCAGGGAGGCAATTATAAGGATTTCTGGGGAATGGTCTAAACTTTCATTCCACTTCTACATGGGCAGTTTCTACAACTCCAGCTGATGGTGCAAGTAGGGATGCTAAGGCATTGAGTCAAGATCTGACTTTTCAAGAAAAGCTGGAAATCCAGACTTATTTAAAACATCTCATTTTAAAAATGTTGGTAATTTTTTTTTTTTTTTTTAATACAGGACATTAGGTAAGACACACGAAACATATCCACAGGCCATATTTGGCATATAAGCTCCTGGTTTATGATCTCTGCTGTAACAGTTTGATTACTCAATTCTAATCAAATATATTTCAATTGTTGCAGAGATAATTGAGATATTTCTTAATAAGTTGTATAATATGGCCACTAAAATGTCAAGGGAAATTCACTGATTAAAGACACATAAATATTCAGGATTATGTATGTGATTATTCCTACCCAAATTTATGTAAATGCCAAATATTTCACAAGCTCCAATTCTTATCAAAATGAAATTAGCAAAGCCCAGAGGTTGCTAATAGAATAATGGGAAATATAACCATTATAAGCTTTATGTTAAGTGTGGTATAACTGAGTTTAGGTCACAAGTTCAAGTTGACTATCAATTTGTGCAGATCCATGATTGTATTTCTAAATGATGACTAACAAGCCAATTACAGTGACTAAAAAGTTCTGTCATAATTGACATTTTAAATGACGCATTTCACTAAGAAAACAAAAATTTCAACCTCATTTTAATCACTTTAGTTATTCAGAATTCTGTTAATCAAGTAGGAAAAAAAAAAAAGAAAGAAAACTGCATTCAACCCCTAGAGTGATTTATCTGTTTGTGTGAGTATAAGAAAAATGATCACATCTTCAGGTAATAGATTACAAGTACAAAGAAAGTTCACATTAGAGCTATGCTGATGAAAATTACCTGCAGGCTGTTACAACACAGCTAGTGAATTAATTAACCTTTTGCCATAAAAATCTAAAGACTTTCAGCAAAGATTGAAGTTTCTCTGTTTCTTTTGCTCCAATTTCCTCAGTATTTTAGAAAATGAAATGATGTGATGTCCCTGAGGTGAACAAATGAAATATACTTTGGTTTTATCAGTTCTTGTGGTTATTACAATAAATTACATGAATTGTGGTTAAAATATGCTAAAAGTGTTACATTTGTTTTAGTTAATGAAAATTGAGAAACAATCGCTGATTTCTATATAAACCTTTATTTTTATGAATGAGATCAGTAATTTCTTATTCTAAATGTTGGCTAACTGTTGGTTATCTACCTTTAGACATTGTGAGGAAATAAAGTTAAATAAAGTATGTCTTTTGCCAATGAGTTTTTTAGAAAATGAGTATAAACACACATTATTTTAAACTTTATCTTTAAATGGATAATAATATCTATATTTAAATTTTTTGGTCAAGCATTCTTTGATAGTTTTCACTTGCGATCTGAAGCTTAAAAATCAACCATAAATCAAACCATGATCTGGGAAAATAAGATCTCTAGAAAACAGTGATAATATGATCCACTGCATTTCCTCAGGCTACTAAAGGAAAGGATCAAGAAAACTTGGTGAATGAGAAGATTATAAGTACTATTGGATAAATTATACTTTAAATATTGGCATAATAATTTTATATAACTTTATGTCATTTACAGAAGCCACATATATTTTTCTGATTGATGTAGTAATAGCTCCTTAAGAGGACTAATGGCCCCCAATATTTAATTGTTCAATAGCAAACAACTAGGGCTGTCATCTCTTCAGTAGGTTATAAGACAATCTTGTTTAGAGGATAATACTTAATGTATGCATTAAAATGTTAGGGCATTTCTTTATTGTTCCAACTAAATGATGATTTGCTAAACTCAGCTTTAAAGAGCTAAACTAGTTAAATGCCTCTTGAAAGTACTGTTCAGGAAATCATTTTTGGTCACAGGTAAGAGCTACACAATTAACATTTTAAAGTAGAGAGGTAACAATTTTGGGTTATCAAAGTGGGTAATGCTTATCTGGACAACTAAATATGCATATTTCTTATTATGTATTAATGGCAAACATATTTTACTAATATGTATTTCAAATTAAGGAGCTGTGTTGAGTAATTTGGAATAAACAATAAATCCTTGATAAACATTCATATTTCAAAATTTTCCAAATGAATTTTTTATTATAACTGTAAGGAACAAAGTCCTTTAACTTTACTAAATTTAAAATATTTACAAAGCATTTTGGTTATTTCATTTTTGAGAACATTTCTATTGTAAAACCTATACTTTTAGGTAAGATACATATTCACATGAAGTGTCAAGGCTAACACATTCTTGTTAAATATTAAACTTACAATAAATATATTTGAATATATTGTTGTTATGTGCTGTTGAGTCAGATCTGACTCATAGCTACACTTCCTTGGGTTTCCGAGGCGGTATCACTACAGAAATAGATTGCCCAACCCTCCTTCCGAGGAGTGGCTGGTGAGTTTGAACCACAAGCCTTCTGGTTAGAAATCAAGTGCCTTCAGCACTATGCTACCAAGCTCCTATATTTGAATATAAGAATACACAAAGCTTCACAAGAAATTTGACACTTTTGCAAATACTTAAGCTTGCCTACACAAACTTAAACTAGATTTAATATTGACATTGATTATTATAGTATTGTGTGGTATTTACATTTTTACTTTTTATCACCTACAAATACTTCTACAAAAGTGTATTTATATTAACATACTACATTTAACTATAACACATGAAAGATTAAGAAACTAAAATGTTTCAGGAATAACTTGATTTTAAATATTTTCAGGCACTATAGTATATATGTGTGTGTGTGTGTGTGTGTGTGAACAATAAATATACGCCTTTAAAATTTTTTTAAATGAGAAGACAGATTTACAATACTTCCTTAATTATTATAGGAATACACATGCTATCTTTTAGAAGATATGAACGACATACCTGACAGGTAATGTTCTGTCTCCTTTCCTCCTATCCATTTCTCTTTGGGGAACAGGATACCAGCGGAAATTCAGTTTCCAGTTAAAACCCCCATAAGTCATGTCTGATCCAGCCATATATTCAAAGGTATCATCACTAATCACATCAATAATGGGGCACACAACTGTTTTCCTACAGAAAAAATAAAACCAGCTTACATGTAAATGATATATTTTACATTATCATCTTTTAAAATATAATTTATATGTTGAAATTTAATTATTTGTGATTTTAATGACTTCGTTTTCATTTTGTTCTTTTTCTCTATGGAATTATTTACTTTGATTACAACTTCCTTACAGTCTACTTTATCGTTTCATGTGTAATCTAATCAAACATACTAATTGACTTTCAAGCTGATTTCCAAATGTGTTCTAAGTACTAACTCAGCAGGATGAGCATGGTCTATTTTTCATAAAACCTCCATCCACAGCATGATTAGTAGAGTTGCTTTGAGATTATGCATCATTTTACCTATAACCCACTGAAAATCAATAGCATGCAGGGAGATGAGAATGGATGATAACAAATTAGATCCGGTAGTTTGCATCTCAAATAGTGTGGCTAGCTTACAGAGATAGTTCTAAGAAAATCTTCATAAAGGAAATACCTACTAGAAAACAAACAAACGAACAAAAATAAACAAAAAACAAACAATAAAAATCACAATCTATGACATGATCAATCACTACAAGTAAACATTTCTTATGAAGCATAAGGATTACAGTTTAACATAAAAAAAAAAAAAAAATCCTCACAACTGGACCAATAAGTAGTATCATGACAAAGGAAGAAAATATTGAAATGGTGAAGGATTTCATTTTCCTTGGATCCACAATCAACACCCATGAAAGCAGAAGTCAAGAAATCAAATGACATATTGCATTGGCAAATCTGCAGCAAAAGACTCTCTCAAAAAAAAAAAAAAAAGGAGCTCTGGTAGCATAGTGCCTAAGGCACTTGACTGCTAACCAGAAGGTTGGCAGTTCAAATCCACCAGCCGCTCCTCAGGAGGAAGGTTGAACAATCAACTTCTGTAGTGATACTGCCTTGGCAACCCAAGGAGGAGTTGCTATGAGTCAGGTCCAACTTGACGACACATAACAACAAAAACAACAAAAGTGTTAAAAAGCAAAGATGTCACCTTGAGGAGTAAGGTCGGCCTGACCCATGCCATGTTATTCTTAATCACCTCATAAGCACATGAAAGTCAGACAATGAAAAAGGAAGGTTAAAGGAAGAACTGATGCCTTTAATTATGGGGTGGGCAAAGGATACTGAATATACCATGGACTGCCAGAAGAACAAACAAATCTATATTGGGAGAAGTACGACCAGAATACTCTATGGGAGCAAGGATGGTGAGACTTTGTCTCCTGTACTTTGACCATGTTTTCAGGAGAGATCAGTCCCTGCAAGAGGATATCATGCCTGCCAAAGTAGAAAGTTGCCAAGAAAGAAGAAGATCCTTAATGAGCTGAATTTCACAGTGGCTGCATGAATGGGTTCTAACATAACATTGATTGTGAAGATGGCATAAGACTGGGCAGTGTTTCATTCTGTTGTACATAGTGCCACTATGAGTTGGAAATGACTCAATGACACTCAACAGCAACAACATGAAAGGTATTGGGCCATGACAATTTCTAAGTGAACTTGCCTAGAATTAGAAGTTTAGAGTCATAGTCCAGATGATATATTAAGATGATGTTTTATATCAAGACACTGTTTTCTAAAAGTAAGAGAAATAACAAACTTGATGGTGGCTTTTCAGGGTAAGATATTTTTCACTTGGCAGATCATTAGGTACTTATAACATCCATATTGTGCCTTCTCCCATTTTTTACCTATTCCCAGCTTTATATGTTTTCATGGCACCTAAGTGTCTGTCTTTTCAATGAATAAATATTCAGATCTACCCATGATTACCTTGATTTTAGCTAATTTTAAAGACTTGAGCTTAATTTTTCATGTTTCCTGGAAGGCAAACATACAAATAAGATTCTGAAACAGCCACAGAAGTGGAAAACAAAAAATCATATCAATTATTTATTTTTGTTGTAAGATTCCAGTATCACCAATTGTGGTAGTTAAGTTTGTGTGTCAACTTGGCTAGGCCTGGTTTAGTGGCTGGCCAGCTGCATGTAGTTATTCCCTATGGTAAGATTGGTAATTAACTCCCTGGTGGAATGCATTGGAGCAGCTCAGTAGCTGCATTAGGGATGTTAATGGTTCCCGTATATATATAAGAAGCAGCTTTGGATATGGTCTCTAGCTTATGGCATGCTTGAACCCCGCATGTAGCCATATCACTGTTCAGCAGCCTTCCATGCTCTGCTCACCTTGGGACTTTCAATGGACTTGAATTAATGGCTGGCCGTGTGTTTTGATAACATCGGGACTGTGTCTTTTTACTTGTCAACTTTGGGCTTGTCAGTCTCAGTAGCTGTCTGAGTGATGAAAAGCCTCTAGTTCTAGTGGGCCGGGAGCAGGAGGCAGAGCTGAAGCCCAAGGTTGAGGGGCTTTCACCCAGCCCCTAGAGCCTGGCACTTTGAAGTCAGTCTTAAAGCCTCCAAACTCAAAGAGAATAAACTCCTGTTTATTCAGCCATTCCATTTGTGGTATATTCTTTTCAGAACAACACTAAGTAACCAGAACATCAATGCTTATTGTAAATTGGGTTTTATATTCCACAAAATTGGCCAAAATATGAAATTCTCTGAAATCAATAAGATTCATCTAGCTTTGGAAGTTTCTTGTAAGGTAATTCTGGTTCCAACAAAAGCAATATAGTTTTCTCATTCCTGGCTCTGGTAGCATAGTGTCTAAGGCACTTGACTGCTCACCAGAAGGCTG